ACCCCCAGCGAGTGTAAAGAGTGCAAACGTGTCTCAGTTCGCGTCACTACCACTAATCTAACTACCCCTGATGGGGAAGGTACTCCTCCATCTTTAATTTTTTTTCGTTTTGTCCGGGCGAGGGGAGAGGGGCGTGAGCATTTACGATGCGGAGCGGACTTATTTCTACGGTCGGTTCGAATAAAGCTGCCTGTGGCCGTGTCGGTTGTAATATCTACAACTGTGTAGCTACAAACAGGGACGTCCTCCGACTCACTGGTTTCTCTTCCTCTTCAGTCCCGCGGGGCGCTGTTTTGGGCCCTGATGAGGGCCCAGCCGGCCCGACCCTCCCGGCCCTGCCACCACCGCCCCGGTGCCCTAAGGGCCTAAATGCATCGGAATGACACCGCCCGCGGACGGCCACGTGCCGCGCTCGAGCGTGTCCGACTCGACATGACGGGCGCGTCAAAAGCGCCCGCCCGCCACTTCGGCCGAAGGGGTACCTAATTTCGCCTTCGCTCCCCTCTTCTTTTGACGCGGAGAGGAGTAGATCCGGTTTTTATTTTTTTGTTTTTATTTTTGTTTACTTATCCTGGAAAGGTGTGGCATTCCTGCCGCTCAGAACAAGAAAAGCCCCTGTGAAGACTTTTAAAAGTCATCTTGCCGGTGGGGCGCCTGAATGCGCGCTACTGGTGATGATTTGAAGTCGAATTGGTTGCCTACCCTTCAGGCGCCCGAACACCAACACCATTAGCCGCACGTGTACATACAAGGGGACAGGTGAAATGGCACTCTGGGAAAATACGACATTCAGCGCACTGCAACCGAATTTCACTAAAAAAAATTAAGATTAAGGCATAAATACACCGATGGCGAATTCTAGACATTAACAATGTATGAACCATGAACTGCAGACTGCATTCCCCCTCCTCCCCCCTCCCACCTCCTCCACTCCCCTTCCTCAGCGTCGACTCAGAACCTAGAAGGCTGTGCCGCGATTTGTCATCATCTTGTTTTTCCGAGGGATGAATGTCTAAGGAGACACAACAACGTCGTGTTTGACATTAGACCACGTTTGTCAAATAATCTGGAAGATTGGAGACATAGTTTTGTCTAGATTTTGTGCCACCCTTTAGTCGAGGACCGCGTTTTGGTCTGCTGAGTAGGTTAAAAAAATGTTTTTATTTTTACCAAGGTTAGCCCGAGCAGCTGAGTTTCACTTGTACATAACTTGACGTATTTTTTTTACCTTTTACTAACTAATTACATTACGGTGTACGCAAGATCGTTCAGGATCTAACCGTAATTGTTTCTGGTTCCGTTTCTTTACTAGGAAGTGTGACATCACTAGGTTACTGATAAGGAATAGGCTGTCACACGAGAACTAAGAACAATGCACATTTGACAAACTGCTTGGGCTTCATAGTTCTTCTAATTTTTAAAAACTTATCTCCTTTATCGCCTTTTTTCATGCTTTAGGTGTTGAACATCTGACAAAGATGTCAGCTACAACAACACTTCAGGTAGGCATCTGATTTGGTAATCTTTAGAACCCTCTCTGGGACCCTTTTCCAAATGCAATCAAAATGTATTTCTGCACTGTTCTATACTAAAATTTTGTTTCTTTTGTATCTGCAGAAAGCCATTGACTTGGTCACAAAGGCTACGGAAGAGGACAGAAATAAAAACTACGAAGAAGCTCTGAGACTCTATGAACATGGTGTCGAGTACTTCCTGCATGCCATCAAATGTTGGTTTTGTTTTGTCTCACATTTAAATTTTATGGTGCCTCAACTGATTAAAATGTTTACTCATATTTTCTCTGATTTTAATGCTTTAGATGAAGCCCAAGGAGAGAGGGCCAAAGAAAGTATCCGCTCCAAGTGTTTGCAATATCTTGATAGAGCTGAAAAACTCAAGGAGTATTTGAAGAAGAAGGATAAGAAAAAGCCAGTAAAAGCAGATGGTAGCTCCAAGTATGTACTCTTTTAATGAAAAGAGAGGAGGGGGGATAAAAAAAACAAGAGTTTATAAAAAAAAGACTGTTTCTGCTTTATAACGATCAATGTATTTATAATTTTTCCTTTGTCAGGGAAGACAAGAAGAATAGTGATAATAGTGATAGTGATTCTGATGATCCAGAGAAGAAGAAATTGCAAGCCAAACTGGAAGGTGCAATTGTTGTTGAAAAGCCCCATGTGCAATGGGCAGATGTTGCTGGCTTAGAGGGGGCGAAAGAGGCTTTGAAGGAGGCTGTTATTTTACCCATCAGATTCCCACATCTATTCACTGGAAAAAGGATACCATGGAAAGGCATCTTGCTTTTTGGTGTAAGCCAATTATTAATTCATAATATTAAACTTGATAAATTGATCCTTCAAAACATTTAAACTGGCAGGCACTGATTACAATATATCCATCTTTTTACAGCCCCCTGGAACTGGTAAATCTTACCTCGCTAAAGCCGTTGCAACTGAAGCAAATAATTCCACATTCTTTTCTGTCTCATCATCAGACCTTGTGTCTAAATGGCTTGGAGAAAGTGAAAAATTGGTGAAAAACCTATTTGAACTAGCCAGATCTCACAAGCCTAGTATAATTTTCATTGATGAGGTCGATTCACTGTGCTCTTCTCGTTCAGACAATGAATCTGAATCAGCTAGGAGGATTAAAACTGAATTTCTAGTACAGATGCAAGGTACAGTATTACTGACATTAAACATACAGAATTAAATTTAGGACTTACCTGTATTGTTCTGTTCTAATCATTGTCTTGTTACTGTAAAGGTGTTGGAAATGACAATGATGGGATCTTGGTTTTGGGTGCTACAAACATACCTTGGGTCTTGGACTCTGCCATTAGGAGACGATTTGAGAAAAGAATCTACATACCTCTCCCTGAAGAGCCTGCTAGGCTTATCATGTTCAAACTTCATTTGGGAAACACATTCAACACACTTTCTGAAGATGATTTGAAGCAGTTGGCTAAGAAAAGCGAAGGGTAAGCTAAAAAGCATTTGCTGTTTAAACGATAAGCACTCCAACTCAAGTAACTCAAGCAAATAACCTCAGTATTTTATATATTTCCATTTCAGTTACTCAGGAGCAGACATAAGTATTGTTGTTAGAGATGCTCTCATGCAGCCTGTCCGCAAGGTTCAGACAGCTACCCACTTCAGAAAAGTCAGAGGCCCTTGCCGCAAAGACCCCACTGTCGTTGTGGATGATCTCTTGACTCCATGCTCTCCTGGTCATCCAGATGCTATTGAAATGACTTGGATGGAAGTGGATGGAGATAAATTATTTGAACCACCAGTTTCAATGGTATTAGTTAAAGTTCTCAATGAGTTATCACTTCTTTCCAAATGCAAACTTATTCACTTTTTTTAATAATCTTTTTTTTTTTAAATTTCAGAGTGATATGGAACGTTCTCTCCAGACGTCCAAGCCAACAGTAAATGATGAAGATCTTATCAAGCTCGATAAGTTCAAAGAAGATTTTGGGCAAGAGGGCTAAGCCTGCAACACTATCTTGTTCTGGTAGGATATTATTGCATGACATGTGTGCAATGCTTTTGGACAGCTGCCTGGAAACTGAACTTCTTGCTTTGGTTTTACTGATGTACGGACTGATGAAAAGCATTATATAATTTCAGAGGAGCCCAGCGACAAATATGTTGCTAAACTGTAACTTCTGCTTATTTGGCAGAGCCTTTTGCTGCATGTCTTCTGATAAACTCAGCCTACGTTCTATCTCCATGTTCCATTATTGTGGTATTTCTTAAGCAAATCATTGTGGCATACTAATAGAAATACACTGCTCTTGCACTCTGTGGTCTTTCACTGTGATGGTTTTGAAAACAGTTGCATATATGTCATTTGAAATAGGGTTTTGAATTCTATTCAAGGCATTATTTCTTTTCATGTCTCTATAATTCTGGGGGGGAAAAAGTTTCAACGCATAGGTAGGATGTGAGGAAAGTATACTCTCTTTTGCTTTTTTTTCTTTTCTCATTACTGCAGAACACTAGAGAGATCAAAGATTATTCCAGAAACATAAAACTTCACCTGTAAAAGTACTGTAATCAACTTCCTGTCCATTGTGCAGATTTCTAGTGTTTGTATAGATTAGATCTCTTGAATCCAGTTAAAGGAAAGACAGTTTTTATATTTTGAGAAAAGATTGGATTAATCAAATTTGTTGATCTTGGCTAAGATTTGTCTTTATTTTCATACTGCTAATTGTAATGGTTTAGACATATTGTTGGTATTTGTCTTGAAAATAGTTTGACTTATGAAGTTATTATCTGTGTAATATTATTTGTAAACAGTGTATATTGTTAAGATTGGTTTTAACATTCGAATAGTTCTTGAAAACCTCTATTTTAAAATTTTAACTACCGGTAGTGCTTATTATTTATGTAATGTGATCTGCCAAGAAAATCAGGAGTTCAAGATGCTAGATGATGGGTAGGTGTACTCACCACCTTTCTTTGCTTATCCATTAACACATTGCTTTCTATAAGGGCCTCTTTTTGTTTTGGAATACATTATTTTCTTTCTGTCTAATGTTTGCTTTTAAAATTTGTGATGAGAGGTTCGTGATTCCCTCTGTGATTTTATTGAACTCCTGGCCTTTAAAAAATGATCACGACTTTTTTTTTTCACTTTTTATAGTATTGCAACTCTTGCCTCTGAGGTAGTTTGGCGTGTTTAATAAAGCGTGGCTAATTATTTGTTCCTTATGCAAATTTCCTATTTTACCTCGTACTTGTAAATGTTGGGTAAGTGTACTGGAATGGTGTCATTGCATGTATTAACTTGAAATTTGCTTTGACCACTCCTACATATACCATGAAAAATTCACCGTTGGGTTTATTAAAAATGTTGAAGTTGCTCTTACACAACCAACTGCCAGGCATATGAACATCTACTCAATTTTATGTTGCCTTTTTCTTTAAAAATCTGATGAGTTGTGAGGATTGATTAGTGAACTACTGTTTTGAGGCTTGAGTTTCGTTACATATGTAAATACTTAAGACCGATCTGTTAAAACATTTTTAGTCATTTATCACATAATAATAAATTGAAAGTCAGTGTATCAAAACAATTGTAAGTTGTATGTACTTTAATGGGAAATATGCAAGACACATTCACCTTATATTTGTTTGTAAGTCTAAGTTTAATTCATATATAGGCATTGATGTTCACAATTCCAAACTTGATTCTCACAACGCAAGCAGTGTATTAACAGTACACACACTTCAGGATGACAATAATTTTCTGCACTGTAGGCACCTTTCCACATCCATTTGTAAAGCTCAAAACTGTAGAAAATAGTAGCATTCATAATATAACTAGAGGATAAGTACTTTCGCAAAGTTACATCATCCTACAGGAATTTTTTAGACACATCACACTTGTAAAAGAGAATAAATACAAAATTCAAATGAGGGAGCGCTCACAAAGATTACATGTGTCTTATGGGTTCAATTAGTGCTGATGGAACTTTTAGAGACTGAAAGTGAAAGGTGAGATCACATATGCAAAAAGAATTAGTTAAAGAGGAAAGAAAAGCAAGGAACATATCAGGATGACTAAACCCTGTTGCGTATGTTTCACTTGTAAAGGATCTGATTTTTATGAGCTGGGTCTGGGTACAGTTCCAAAAAAGGAGTTGAAGTAAGTGGGGTAGTAGACTGTCAGCTTCATGAGATCAAATGTAAAAGTTTCAACAGATCCAAAGTTTAAATGGAATGCTAGACAAAATAATTTGGGGAACAAATTCTATAGATTAAAATTTAACAGCAGCTACCAGTGATGTAAGATTATAAACCATTTCTCTACTCAAAAATCACAACATACTTAAAATTCACATACAAAAAAAGAAAAATATCACTCTTTATGCTATTTTACAGGCCTTGATGCCAATAACATTGCAAGTAAAATAACACATCATATGATTAAAATAAATCAGTCTATTAAAAACAAATCAGAAAAGTAATTTTAATAAAGCAAACAAGGATACTTAAACTTAGTCAATCATGGACATTGAACATGTCAAACTTTTGGCAAATCACCCAGCTTTCTGATCTATCTCGAACACATTGTACCATGTTCTATCCCAAGAGACACAAATTCTTCATGATTACATCAAGTGACGTCACCAGTCAAAATTTGGTCCTCTTCACACACTAAAATGATGTCATGAGGACACACGTGATACCAAGATGACTAAATTTGTCACATGATGTCATCCTGACAAATTTTCATTCCTTGAGATAGTTCCAAATTAATGTATATCTTGACTTAGGAATTGCATCCATAGTTTGCAATACAGGTATTTAAAGTAAGACTAACCAGAGATACAATGTATACTCAACTTACCAAGAAACAGATAGTTCATCTCATACACCAAACATCAAAACATAAACAGTTACAATCTCAGATCAAAACTTGTTTTATGTAAGACTTTAATTCATGATTATGGGGTTCTTGAAGAACTGACAGTTCCTGTGCCAAAATATATGAACTGCAAAGTAAAGTCTTTTCTTTGGACAGTCACAATAAATCTTACTGCTTAGATGAAATTATTCTTTACTCCACAAATAAAGCAGTTTTCTTCATCAAATTGTTAGAGAAATTTAAATAATATGATGATAATAATTAGAATGCATGACAGAATACCAATAGCCATCCACTGTCTTCTATCTGCAACAAAAACATAAAAGCAATAATAATTAAAGGTGCCCTAAAGGTGTGTAACATATTTATATTTTCTCTTTTGAATCGATTTACTTACCATTGGTCATATGCATAAGCTTTGCAACTTTTTTCATAGTGGCATCCATTTTAACATCAGCAGTCTCCATTTCATTGCCAAAGTCTTCCAGCATTCTAAAACAAAAAAATAAAAAATTTTACCTACAATGTTACTGCAATGTGATGACACTGATGACTAGATTAATCTTCCACATACACTGCATGCTCATCTAACTCAGAACCAATCTGCCGAGACACCGTTTTCAGAGTGCCTACACTGCCACTGATTGCATCAAGGGTGTCATCTTGTCCCAGAATAAGGCTTCTCTGCTGCGCAAGTGTATCATCTAGGAATTGCCGGCTGGGGCTATCCAAGTCATTTTCCAATTTAGAATATTTAGTTGAGTTGTGACTAGATGGGACTCGAACAGGGCTGCTATCTCGAGTGTCCAGGAGAGGCTGGCGCGCAGTACGGTCACGGTCTCTGTTCTTGTTCATGTTCATTTTATCCCGCATCACCTAAGAGGAAAAAAATAATCAAATAAACTAAAATCTGCATGAGAATTAAAACACACTGAATACAAAATCTATGATGCCACACCTTTACTTCCTCACGTGCTTGTTCAATGAAAAGTTTTCTATTTGTGAGTTCTTTGTTGTCAATCTTGAACTTTGAAGGATTTTTTTCAACAATATGTATCTTTTTGTTAAGGAAAAACTTGAAAAATAGATGTATAAAGAAACACACATGAGAAAAAAAAAGAACAACAGAAGGTATCCTTGGATGCCTTCCTCCTCCCCCCCCCCTTCCCCTCCCCCAACACACCCCTTTTAGAAGTCACTGCATCTTACATGACAAGAGCATGCTAATGAGAAGAGAGATCACACATACTATCAGGCACTTAGAAACACAGTGATAATTTTTAACTCATGACAAGTACTTCTACATTGTTTGAAAACAATTACTCTTAAACAAGAGCCTGACATGAAAATATGAATTAATCTGTTGCTGTTTTTATACAGAAAGATGATTGACAAAGGCATATTTTATCAGTATGACAGAGTGTGACAGCGACATCTTAGTAAGAACAATGTTTTTTGTTTTTCTTTGAATGGATACTCAGACTACAAATTGAGGCATTGCTTCCAACCATTCTGCAGCACATCACATATTTTCAAATTTATAACAGCAAATAAAGGATATTTTTAGTGTCTTCAAGATCATCAATATCCCATTCTATGCTTCTCAAGGAATTCCGAAGCTCTGTTGTGGTCCACTCCAAGTCGTCTTTGGTAACATTAAGACCTGTGTCTTTCTGCAGCTCAAGCCACCGCTGATACAAGACTTTGGTCTTGTTCAAAGCTTTCGACACTTCACTGGAACATAAGAGAGAAATGACATTGCTTCATCATATTTTCCTGAATATCTTCATACCTAATGTGACAAAGGTTTTGACATTATACGAGAAAAAAACAGAGGAAGAACCCAACGTGATGAAATAGTCAGCTTTCATTTACGGGACAATTTTCTCAGAATTGGAAATCCATGTTGATTCAAGCCAAAATGGTTACATGGTAAACTTACTCTTTCACAACAAAGAAGGGATCCTCTAGTGTCATGTCAATTAAAAGCAGACGAGTTCACCAAAACACGTCGTAGATGTGATTACTTCACAAAAGTCCTCACAAATCATCTGGACCTCTAACCCCTTATCCGCGGAGCACGTAATAAATGGCGTCAATAGAAATCACGTTTAAAACGCAATGGGAGCAAGATATCATGGACATTTTCAAGACTAGGCTTCAGCAAACACCACATCCGCCATTGCTACTGATTCTTATCCTTACGCCCCTCCTCCCCCGCCACTCACACCCTTCTCTCGCAAGCCACCCTCACTCCCTACTCACCCCTAATCCGTTTGTGTGACGTCACACCGACTTCACCCATTCCTGTTCTGTACCAACCGCACCATTGCCAACAGCCGCATGAAAAATATGCTTTGACGCGCGAAAACCACAAACTGCAGGGGAAGTTCCTCACTTTTACCAGCTTTTCCAGATTTTCTCTTCAATAGGGACTTCTCCATTATACCATTCAAAACGGGGCGGGGACGAAAATTAGGAAAACAAAGTCATTGTATACTTGACGGAAATGTTCATTTATTTTTTTCCTTGGAAGAAAATTACAGAAATCCAAGCAAATAGCCAGTAATGTTTGGTTTGTTGTTTTTCTTTTCACAATACACTAGTACAACTTGATTGATGTAACAGATAAAAGACTCAAAGAAACAATCAAACAAAAAAAACAAAACAACATTTCCTTTTAAAATTGAAACCTGCTCCTCCAAAAACTTCGGCAATGACAATTTTCAAAACAATATTCTAAAATACTGGCAAATATATTTGAAAAAGATATCTGGTAACTGATACACAGAGTACAAAGTGAATTCACATTGAACTAGAAGTCCTTCACATCTGTCCAGCAAAAGTAACTTTTAAAACATGTGGATGTCAATCCCATGCAATCAAAACTTTACACATAAACATAGTCTTTTTAAAATCATAAATTACTAACTTATTGAGCTCATGAAACCTCCTTAGCACAGCTAATGAGACATGAGTATTCTGATTTTTAAGCCTCAAATGTACATTATTAAATATTTACAAAAGCAGAATCGTGCTGTTCAACAGAAAGAATTCTCAAAAAATGTGCTCTACAATGAAATAGCAACCACAGAAAAAATCTTCAGGCAGTGGGTGGCAACAGAAAAAAAATTACTCTTACTACCATAGGTATGTTATGATAGATTCCTATCCTGTGGCAACAGGATGACAGACCAGACTCTTGTTTTCTTTTTCATTTCCACTTGCAGTTGCAAATATGAGACTGATGAGTAGGGTGGAAATTGTCTACAGCCCAGCAACTATGATGCGGGGGTCTTCCACAGCTGCCTTGATCTTTTTCAAGAAGAGAACAGCTTCACGGCCATCAATCAGTCTGTGATCGTAAGTAAGAGCAATGTACATCATGGGACGGATCACAACCTGAAAATTAATAATGTGTTGTCAGTATTGACAAGAGTATAAAATTTCTAAAATTTTTAGAATTAAAAAGGAAAAGTATAAAGTTAACTTACTTGACCCTTGATTGCCACAGGTCGCTCAAATGTACCATGCATACCAAGAATTGCAGACTGGGGGGGATTGATTATAGGAGTGCCCATAAGTGAGCCAAATACACCACCATTACTGATGGTGAAAGTACCACCATCCATATCTTCAACAGCAAGAGCATTTTTACGCGCCTTCTCTGCCAGATTATTCATGGAGTGCTCAATTTCAGCATAATTCATAGTTTCTACATTTCGAATAACAGGTACCACCAAACCCTGTAGAAATAATACAATTAGCAAAATAAAACTTTGAGTAAGCCTCTGAAAAAAAGGAAAAAAATAGAAAAAAATTAACCTTTGGTGTAGCAACAGCCACTGAGATATCAATGTAATCACGATATACAATTTCTTGGCCATCAATTACAGCGTTCACAACAGGCTGCTCTTGAAGTGCATATGCAGCAGCCTTAACAAATGCTGACATGAATCCCAACTTAATACCATGTTTCTTCTGGAAAGCTTCTTGGTTAAGCTTTCTAAATTCCATGATACCACTAAAAGAAAATAAACATAGCATAATTGTTGAAAATTATTCTTTAAAGAAAGGCAAAACTATGAATAACGCTCTACCTCATATCGAGTTCATTAAATGTAGTCAGCATAGCGTTGACATTCTGGGCATCCTTCAGTCGCTGGGCAATTCGCAGACGCATTCGATTCATTTTTACTCGTTGCTCAGTGCGAGTGCCACTGATTTCTTTGGTGGGATCTGCGGGTGGCACTTTGACTGTAGCTGCTTCAATAGCCTGTTTAATAAAAACCCGATACATTAAACATAACACTTGTGGGATGCACAGGACCTAAATGAAAAAAACAGAAACAAACTTGGGCATGACGAATAGCAGCCACAGGAATGGAGCTCAGTGGGGCCTGCGGTGGTGGTGGTGGTGGTGGTGGTGGGGCGGCTGCTGCAGGTGGTGGTGGTGGGGCGGCTGCAGTGGGCTGTGGTGGTGGTGGTGGAGGAGGAGCAGCCGCAGCTGGAGATGGAGCTGCCGCTGCAGGGGCTTCTTTTTTCGCGCTACCAGCTGAAAGTGGAATATGAAAAGCCAATGGTAGATGATGATATTCTGCTGTCAAATGCTATGAGTAAGGGACTTTTACCTCCTCCAAGTTTAAGCTTGAAAAGTGGTACACCAGCCTTGACAGTTGCACCATCTTCAACTAAAAGTTCCTCGATTGTGCCATTGGCAGGTGATGCTACAGGCACTGATGTCTGTAACACATGAATTACCCAGTGTTAAAGGTGTTGAAATATGCCTTGTGAAAACAATCGAAGATCAAGAGCAATACCTTGTCAGTTTCAATTTCACAGACTACTTCATCCTCTGAAACTTGGTCCCCAACAGCTGGAATGAGATTTAAAAGGTTGTTTAGGTATGCAGCAGTAGGTTAGAAGATGTGCAGTCTTCTGAACTCACCTTTCTCCCACCTAATATCTCCTTCAGACACAGATTCCGGAAAGGCTGGGCAGTTTACAACTCTAGATTCCTGACCTGAATAAAAGAGATTTATAGTAGATAGATAGTTGAAATAAGTTTATAATGTGTACCAGAGAAAGACAGGCCACTGAAAAGAGGAAGATACTTACACAAGGAGTGTGAGGTTTGAAAAGTTCGAGATTGAAGAGCCCATTTAGATTGATGGCTTGGCGGATGGCAGATGGACAAGCTTAAATAAAAATAAAATTAATTGTGAGAATTACTATGTTGCTTTGAAATACAAGTAGTCCAATTAATTCACAATGTCATACCACTTCGAGGATGGAAGAACACAAACTCGGGCATGTGCATCTTCATGTGCTGTCCGAACTGAAAATATGCCAAAAAACGTAATTATACATGACAATGCTAGCCAAATTATTAACAAACATGGAGAAAGAGTTTCCTTGGAATGGACAAGTTATTAGTAAGTTGATTCACCTTGACGGAAAAGCCTCTGGGCGACCTGGAAATAGAGACGAAAAAGATTAAGAAATTAATTTCAAGGGGATAGAGAAAAAAGAGATGTGATCAAAACAAAATGGTTCTTTTTCCAAGTGTCATGGTAAATTTTAAGTGGTGTATCAGAGTCATGTGATTATTAAATAGGTAAAGTAAGTGGGTAGAGCTAAGTCAACTCAGACAAGAGATTTGAATATACTCGACATAATCTCAAACAACAATGGTGTATCAAGCAATAATGTCATTAAAAAGTCTAGTTGTTAAACTGCCTTGACAAACTAGTGCCATCATAAATGTATTCTCTTAACCTAACCAAACGCTAATCAAGAAAATAACCACAACGAGCGATAAAATGAAAAGAAATAAAAATAATGATAGAAACTAAAGGTTACTTTAAAAGGGGGAAATCGTGTTAAATGTAGAGAATGTAATAAGCTGAACTCCGTAAATAGATGGACCGGGTGGAAGGGCAGGGGTTACTCATTGAAAACACAGCGTAGCAAGCTCTCACCTTCGAATTGTTGCTATTAACTATTTTTGAGGTAATCCCATGTATACTTCGATGAACGTTTCTCGAAATGGACAACATTGTGGTCACTTATGATTAAATTCTTCGGATTTGCAGAAAGACTAAGCCAACCCCTTCGCCACGGCCATATGATGCCCGAGGACAGAGGGACGAATAAATTCACGGCAGGAAAGATTCTTATGCAGTCGCAGACGATTCTTTGGGAACGGAAAAAGGAGTTGAAATGGGGTGCAAACATAAAGTGATTTGTACGTTAAAGTTCATTAAAAATTCTGTGATTATCATAAATAGGTCAAGCAAGTGGTTAAAGATGTCGAACAACAACATCCACGTTTGAAGGTTTGGGTTTCAATATTGGTATTTTGTAATTATTTTTTTATATTTATGACTTGAAGATTTTTCATACTGCTCCAATTTTGCCAGCTTGCCAACTCGACTTAGCGGTGTTGCCAGATGATCAGAAGTTGACAACATCTTGTTGGCATATAAACAATGGTAAAGTAGCATTTAAAGTTATTTTTTGACATTTTGAGAAAAATAACTAGAGCTCTACGTTTAACTAATTGTTCTTGAATGAAAGAGCTTTGAGCTAGACACATTTTTGTCGTTTCTGTTAGAATTTACTTGAGGGAAAGTTAAATGTGCCCTTGTCTACAGCTGGAGAGCAGACGAGTTACCGGCTATATTTTAGATTAATTTTATTTCTTCTTTCACCCCATTCTCAATGAATGTTACTTTTTAGTATGGATCATGATCAACTTTAATTTACTTTCAATTGCTTATCAGTGAGCTATACTTTATTAGTCTGCTAGATGTGTGAGTTTCGTTAATGATGAGGTTAAAGAGGGCTCCGAATTCTCAGTAAACTTCGCTTCTTCATTATTTGGATTTCAATATGATTTTTACTGTTCTCCTACTAAAACAGATTTTTACAAAAACATTATTGTTTTACACCTTTACGTTTTTATGATATATTATTTTACTGAACCAAACCTAACACATCTCTCCTTTTTTTCTAGGAAATTTTTCTGAGATAGAAGGGTGTTTGACACCCCTTCCATTTAGCCTGACAATGATTCCCCTTTCACATAGCAAGGATGTGTACCGACCTCTTGGCTCCCGCCTCAAAGAAAAGATCCAGAGCTGGATTCGTATAATATTTGCTGATCGTAATTCCAGGAATCTTCTACTCTTTCTTATACTCAATCTCTCTTTTGCCTTTGTTGAGTTGTTTTATGGAATATGGACCAACAGGTGAGAAAATAGTGTTCAAGCTACTAATCTGATGGTGAGCGTTGATTGCCAAGTTTCAAAAGTAAGTACAAATTTTAATGGTGAACCTCTTGTTTCAGTTTGGGCCTTATATCAGATTCGTTCCACATGTTCTTTGATTGCACTGGCCTGCTGGCGGGTCTTGCAGCATCTGTTATCACAAAATGGAGAGCTAACGACAAATATTCATATGGTTATGTTCGGGCTGAAGTTATAGCAGGTTTTGTGAATGGTCTCTTTCTACTTTTTATAGCCTTTTTCATCATGTCTGAAGCTGTAAGTATTATTTTCATTTCAATAAATTATTTGTTGTAGTATTAAAAATGCGCGAGTCTTACTTCATTGTAAATTTGTATAGGTGGAACGTGCTATAGAGCCTCCAGAAGTGAAGCATGAGCGTTTGTTTGTTGTGTCTGTCCTTGGTTTGTTGGTGAACTTTGTGGGTATTTATGCATTCCAACATGGGCATGGACATGGACACGGGGGTGGACATGGTCACTCGCACGGTGGAGGTGGCCATGGCCACTCTCATGGTGGACATGGACATTCACATGGCGACTCCCACGATCACTCACATGCAAATGATGGCAATCTGTCCAGTGGAAATTCTCAAATTATGCAGGTAAATATAATACCACTTTCTTGTTTTCAATCAATTTATAATTATTTTGAAATTATTTTTTATTGTTATTCCTGCAGGGCGTCTTCTTACACATACTGGCTGATACTTTAGGAAGTGTCGGTGTGATAGTGTCTGCAGTTCTCATGCAGGCATTTGGTTGGATGAGGGCAGATCCTATCTGCTCAATGTTTATAGCTATTCTCATAGCTTTGAGTGTTCTTGCATTAATCAAAGATTCAGTCTTAATACTTATGCAGCGGCAACCAACCCAATTGGATCATGTTTTACCCCAGTGTTATCAAAAGGTACGTTCATATTCCTCTCTTTCTTCAGAATCTACTGATGTGGAGGAGAAATTTTGTACCTGTCTAAATAGCTGTGCAACCAATTTGAATCTTGCATCTCATTATTATGATTTTTCAGGTATCTCAGCTAGCTGGTGTGTACAGTATACAAGAACCACACTTTTGGACACTGTGTAGTGAAGTGTATGTAGGTGCTCTTAAACTAGAAGTTGCCAAAACTGCTGATCCAAAATACATAGTCAGCCACACTCATCTAATTTTTGCTGGAGTGGGTGTGCGGCAGCTTTACGTACAGCTGGACTATGCTCATATGTGATACTTTATGTTGTGACACTTGACTGCTGTTCAATAAACCAACACACATATTGTGTGCATTTGGCTATCAAGCAAACCTTGCCATAATTACATGGTAATGTTGTACCTAGGTATGTTTTTTTTTCTGTTAAGAATGCATTAGGTGTCTTACTGTTACCTTGTGATTATGGTGATGCTGAAGAAACTAAGTATTATCCCAATATCAGGTTATTTCTTTTTTACCTTGCTTAAGATACATAGTAACTTTTTTTCACATTTGTTGATTTTATGACCTTTATTTTCTTACTGAGGTGTTTTTCTTTATGAATTATAGGACCGTGTCAAAAAAGTTTGATGACAAATTTATGACAAAGTGATATGGTCTTTATGTGTGCTGTATTGTTATTTGTACACATTTTAGATCTTTCAAAATTTGTTCTGTGGAAGACTTTGGGATTCCTTTACTCAATAAATGGTGCTTTAAAGGGGTTTTCATGACAGCACAATATGTTAAAATTAAGTCAGTACTTACTTTTCGTGCAAGTAACAATTCCTATAAAGTGTACCCTCTTCAAGATCAGTATCTTACTCACATAGTCATAGGGCATTTTACATCTTACTCAGATACACTGATTTTCTGTTAGCTTTATTGTTGATTTCAGGACTTACCCTTCTACATTCCCAGTGTAGGCTTTTATTTCACCTTTACATTTGCATGTAGTCTTTCACCAACAAGCTACAGACATTTTCATTCATCCCTGTCATGTTGATTTACTAAGCGCACCATGCTTAGGATTGTGATATTGTTACATTGATGGGATCAAGGTCTGGTGAGATGAATCTGTTTTGTTTTGACACATTCCTTTGATGTTTCCATAAATCTGGACTAGTCTGGATTATTAAAAAGAATTGAGCTCTTCTCCAAATTATAACTTTTTAATGACAGTGCATTTTGTACCAAACCTGCCTATGTCATGCGAGAGCAAATTGTAGTGCAGTTGTCTTCCAGATTTTACCCATATTGGTGATGTGTGGATGTATTGTGTGACTTTTAAAAATGTAATTCGAAAGGATTTTATCTTTGATTTTGTACTGTTTCATTTCTGATTGTAAAGGAACACTTTTAAAAACTTAATTATTATATCTAATGATTTGGGTACCCTAAAGGCTGAATTAAGAAATGGGATATCGATTGTAATAGCTCATTTGTATTCTGGATATGGGCATTATTATAGATAGAGACAGTTATTAATGTTGTGGTTGTGCCTGTTTGAGCCGCTGGAATTTTGTTGTTGATTTTTGGAGAATCAATTATGTAATGTCTAGGATCCTTCATTGAGTGTGAATCGTAATACAAGTACATAATTTGCATCAGTGTTTGTAATCATTTAAAGATAGGTAAGATCAATACTTAAGAAGGATGAATGTCAGTTTAACTTAAAATCCTGTCATGGTTGTTCGGCTACTGTCAGTTTGTTCTGCAACGAGGTAAACGTTGTTAGATACAATTTCTTCTACCAATGTTATTAACAAAATGGGGAAAAACCTGTTCCAGACTGGGCTAAGCTCCTTACAACCTGATTTTAACTTGCTTTTTTATTTATTGTTTTGGTATTGATCTTTCCTAAATGTACGCATGTCCTCACATACCTGCTCCCACATTGAATTCAGTAAACGCTGGGTGTGGATGGGCTAGCCTTTCTATCAGGCATAAAATTGAAAAATCAAAGAAAAATAACATCACCACAGAAAATGGTTTTAGAGTGGTTAGACAGCACCCCATTTTACCCACTGTTAAATTTTCGTGCCACCAGGTCAACACAATCTATTCCTAAACTGGTCTATGTATCCTTTCACTCACCAAGTATAGTAATTAAGGGAAAATAAGGAAAAATAACAGAAGGGTAGACCATATTCATTACCACAAAGAGATACAATAAAAAAATTGACAATGTACCAATATTGCACCATTACCACACAATGAGCTTAATTATCTAATTTATATGGTATAAAATTAAAGAGGAATCTAAACAGGAACGGAATCATATCAGTACAGGCTTTACAGACAGTAAGTACAGCATGGTCATCATACTCTCAAGTTTATCACTGATTATCAGTATCAAAAGGGGTTTCCAAGACATTTACCATGAGTGCTTAGACGTCTAAAATCACAATTTACGTTACAAAAATTCAAAAAGAAGAATGATATTATAGTGCAATATTAAACTAAGTGTAGCAATATGATTTTTGGACAGTAAACTTGTTTCCTCTGCAAACCAAAAATAATAAAAAAAAACAAATATTATAAACAGTAAAAGGAATTAACCATTAGAGTGGTCAGGTGTACACTGGTAATAGGTATTTGGCCCAGCCAACTCTGAAATCACTTGACGTGGAGCAATGCTAACCAGGTAGCCTCTAATAGAAATAGTCATTATAAAAGGGACAAGAGTTCATTTCTTTGTTCCATCTCAAAGCTAGACCCATTCATGGTACAATGATGCATGAGTATTACCATATTTGGCAGACTTCATTGCCCAAACGCAAATCCTGCTGGTTGTGCTTGGTAACAATTGAGCAAGGTAGAAACTAGACACCAATCCACATGTCTTAATGCAGGAACATTGTCACTCATTTGATGAACTGATTGAGTACTTACAACTCAGAGAGAGAGTAAACAAGCTCTTACTGGCAAATTTACAAAATGAATTTTAACTTAACCAAGAGTTTAGAATGTCTTTAACACAAATACACATCTTTCCAGGCTGAAAAGATAAATTCATTAGCAAAAATAATCATGATCACACAGAAATTCACCATGCTGTCAGCTTTCATAGTTTAATAAAAAAAGTTTTAAATACAAGATATAATAGCTAGCAGCAATATATAAAACTGAAAAGGCTTATAATGCAAGATAAAAATGTAGCAGCTTATAAATGCACAATTATTAGTGCTTCAACATAAAGAACTTGGCACTAGAGATTCAAAGGAACATGGTCCCCTGTAAGTCAGCTCTCACAATAGTCTAACTTTCACTGGATGCTGTTATAGCCTGACTAGTATTCACCAAATACAGGTCATAAGGAAGAAAGCTGCTGAATATTTTATCCTGCACTATAATAACATATAGTAGTTTATTTTCAATAATTTCTCATAAACAATAAAGTCACAAAGCATAACAATGAAAAGCTATCATGAAATTAATAAAATCCCATCAATTCATAAATCAAGGATTTATGTTTAAAACTGACATGAGAAGCTTTCCAAAACAAACTTAATCTCATAACTCCCCTTGATGCAAAGGTAACAGCAGCTAACAAGCAACTATATTTTTATTGCTATTAACACTTCAATATCCCATCTGATATATGCATACAAAGCATGTGCCTAAAAAATTCCACTAACAACTATTTTCAAGCAAAGCATCGAAGAATGCATCAGGGCCCGAGAGGACAACTTTCCAAGGCAGATGCCCTGTAAAAACAATGCTTATATCAAAGCATTTTGTAGAATACAAGGGTAGGTTTTACCCTTCTTTTTAAATTACGGTAAATTCATTGTTCTTAGTTCATTATCCAACCCTGAACATCACAATTTAGAGAAAAGTAAAAAGCTAAGAGGATAAAAAAAGTTGATTGTATAAAAAAAATTGTCACACATCTTTAACTATCTATATATGAAATGATGGGAAAATGTTGAAATGTTGATCGCAGCCTCGTCCATGGCAAAACATATAACAAATCAGCAGGAAACTTCATATGAGAAATCATTCTCAATGAGTAAAGGAAGGTTAAAAGCCAAGCCTGGAAATTTTATAAAAAACTTTCCGGATCAAAAGGCATTGGGCATGAAATTAAATACATAGAATTGATCACTGGCTTCTTCAATAAGGAAGGTAACTTTCATCTTCAGTGTCTTAAATAATTAACACATACTTTTGCAAGCCAGAAGCAGATGGAATGTCTCACATAAAATGGCTCAATTTCACAACAAATTGAAACTCAGTTCCTACACTTTATCAAGGTATAATATGAATGAATGAATGATTGGTATGATTTTCTTTCTTGCAAATCACAAGAAAATGAATTCAGTTGTTTTGATAATCAATAGATGATAAAAATATTACAGTACAAGAAAGATCAAGAACACAGTCACATATATTCATATCTCAGTCATTGTGCTTTTACAGCATCAGTTGAAGTATTGGTCTTGCATTCCATAATTAAGTGGCTTACGCTAAATTGTGTGTTATTGTCACACAGCTGCCATAGGCCCTTTCTTGCCACAAGTTTATATAAAGTTCAGACAAATTCATTGAACAGAAATGATTCAAAATATCTTCTTACTATAAGGATGATAATGGCGCTGAAAGTATTTCTTGACCTCATGAAGACTCCATTCTTTCATTGGTCAAAAAATCATCACCTCTCGCTGATAAGTTGGGTGAATGCTGAGGGGACTTAGAGCCTACAGTTTTCTTTTTGAACCAACCTGCCAAAAGACGTACACAGTGTCATTAAGAAAACAAAATGGAAACTACATTATGTAAATAGAGACTTAATAAACATGCATTATAATAGCAACTTAATTTATGTTTTAAGATGAAGATGAGAATTGTCAACTAATATACAACATAAAGAAATGTACATGCAGTTTAAGTACTCAATTTGCGCGTTCATTAGAAAGCAATCTACTTTGATCAGAGGAAATAATTATCAGCATAATTAACTACACCACCAACAAAGACAAAGCCATGCATAAAGCAATGTGAGCACAGTTTGTGCATGCAACAAAGGAAGTGGCGTTCTCTCTGAACTGTTATGGTAGTTGGGATTTAGTTCTTGAGTTAAGAGAATAAGATGAGACAGCTGTATAGGTTTTAGATGTGCTACAGTGGATCATTTAAGGAACCCATAATTATTAACATTCAATACGATGATGAATGGGTTTCCTATCATTAACTATAAACGCTTGCTGGAAATTTTCAGCATTTTGAATGGAATTTTGATTTGAATAGTTAATGACAATTGATAAAACAACGGTATACAATGCCCATCTGAAATTTTCATTTGGAATTCAATGATTTCATCTTCCAAGTTACTTTTGCTACGCAAGCACACAGTGATGTGCGTAAGGTTGTGATAGTCAATCCCAAAAACAAACAGCCAACCAAAAGCACACAATGTCTCTAGTAGTGTGTTGAGCAGTTGCTTGAATATAGAAGCCACACACATGATCAAGCTTTTATTCTGGCATCATTAAATGATTACCTGATAATTTCTTCTTAGAAGAAGCTGCTTTCTGTTAGGATAAAAACACACGGTTATTGAAAAAAATTGTGTCATATGTCCCTGGCCACGTAATGATGGTGAGACTTTTGGACAAATTCTGAATAGCCCAAAAGCCCTGCCTTTACAAAGAATTAGGGGATTCACATATTTTATTGTAATAATAAAATGTTTGTGTTGCCAAAGCTAGAAAGTGTAGTATTTACATGCTAAAGAAAGGAGTGCATTGAAATAGATATGACAGACATACTAGTCACTAACCTATTAAATCTACAACTATTTTTCTAGTCCCAATTCAAACTATCCACCAATTAACCAGCTACAGCTACACACTACAGAGCTAGCAAAAGCTTGAGCTTGCAGCCACATTAGACCATGTAATACAACTAAAATAATTTGATAAACCATAAATATACAGACTCAGGCAATCACAATTCATCTACATGAATGTTAAATTAAATGTAATATGTAATGGTAGAACAACCTATTTTCGTGTAAGACTTTGACACCAAGTATATTACCAGAGCAAGCTGTCTAGAATGTTTACGGCTGCAAAACTCAAACTATAATACCTAGGAGCAAGTATTGAAAAATAAGAAACTTCCAGTGAATGAATAATAATAGTGTTAAAATCAAAAGACTAAAATTTTAGCATAAATTATAGAAATTATAAATGACTGGGAAAAGTTGCAACATTCATGGCATCTCCTCATGGGTTACGGTTATTAACAAAACAAATCCGTACAACAAAACTGCTAAGCTCTACATTAAACCAAAATTCAGTTAGAAACAAAGTAATTCTATCTCAACTAATTGCAACATGTATGCCAATCAATGTTAAAATGTTACCTACACAGTCAAGAATGACAAAGAAGAGCAACTTACCTCAGCAGAGGCTGGTTCCACTGATGGACCGTTTGTGGCACCATTGTGAACAGATGGGACAGGGCTTGCAGGTATTGCTGGGTGACTTTCCTAAAATTACAAGCAACAATAATGTTAATTTGTCATAAAGATGAATTTCAACCAAAAGGAAGTGACAAGACAAAGGTTCTGTAATAACTTCAATTTACAAACCTTCAGTTTTTCTATTTCTTCCTTTAACTGTTGTGAACTAGCCTTCTCTTGTGAAATTGCATTTTCTGTCTCCTCTAAGAGCGACTTCAATTTGGCTAACTGATTTGATTGGTCTAAGGCCTTAGCCTGTTCTGCTGCCAAGTCAGCTGAGAGACGATTGCGTTCCTACAAACAATGATAATTTTGAGATCTCATCCTGGAGTACTATTCAATCTAGGTACAAAGTGAACCATAGGCCCTGTATTATATTGTGGTTATCCTACACCGCATTAAGGTGTGAGGGCAGGTTGCCTTGTCGCTAGGAGCCATAAGGCACCACAGTGAGCGACGATAGGCAAGCCCGCCTGCAAGCCTGCATATGGTACAGTACAACCTCAAAAGCAAGCGGCCTATGGGACATCCTGTCTAACACCAAACTGACAAGACGGATGAATACATACTTCTTTTAGTTGGTCAATTGTAGAGAGTGTATCTTTACTAGTTGAGAGCTGGGATTTCAGGCTATTTCTCTCAGCCTCCACAGATTGAAGTTTGTTCTGGAGCTCTCCTAATTGGGTGTCAACCTTGACAAAGATGAAAACAAAACAGAAAAAGAAAAAATTAATTTTGGTAGAATTATCTATAGTAGCTGGGAATTACATGAAAAGGTTGTATCTCAACACCGTTTTAGCAAAAACAAGTACCATACAAAAAAACAACCAAGTTAGTATGTCATCACAAAAGCACATGCATTTTGAAAAACAATTTTGGACCCCTAAATGTTACAGATACTGTAGAAACTAATAGAAATTGTCTCTTATTTGTGAAAATATTTGTATGTACAATTGATTGAGAAAATTCATAACACAGTTACACACAGGCATTCAAAAGAACAAACTTTCCTGGTAAGAGTTAATGGAACATAATTAATAGAGTGCCAGATTTGTATAGAGAAAAGGCAGAAGCTGAGGACAAGAGAAGTTCTTGATCACAACAAGCTTCATGAAAGCCCTAGAATTTTCTGGAAAAACATTCCCAGCACACACAAAATTTGAAAGACACCATTGAGGCATGGTTAAGAACTTCATACCTCCTGCACGATTGAGGGTAGAGATTTTTCAATACAGTTATATGCAAAGTGAATCCCACAAATATCGGTGCCCGCAGAGGCCTGAAAGATAAAACGGCTACCAATATGCCTTGCATGCTTTGTTAACATAAAGTACTCCGTACAAGTAAGGAAATAGAGAAGAAAATCAGTAAGAACACAGTAATAGAAAAGAGAACTGTCAGGGAGAACATAACATAATTTAAAGTATTTTTTCTTTCTTTCTCTGAGAATTTGGTTGGAATAGATAAAGTTACCAGGCATTATCCCTACTGAAGGGAGTGAAGGCTCCAAACAAGTTACTAGATACATATTCATTTCTGAGAATTGCATGGCAAGAAATGCCACAAACCCCATTTACCTTATCTCCGGATGAATGGTTGCGCAGGTCATCCCTTTCACGAATAACTGTTGCCAGCTCAGCTTCTTTGTCAGCAAGTTGTTGTTGCCACTTAGTTTCTTCAGCCTCTACATGAAGTTGAAGTTTGTTCAGCATACCCTCCTGAAAATACATAATTGTAGGTATAATAGAAAATGCCAGCAAGTAACATTAATGTGTAATCATTATTGACAGTGTCAATACATACAGTGTCTTCGATGATTCTCTTGTAGTTTGTAACCATACCAGACAGTTGTGAGTTACGTTTTTCTAATTCAGCTATAACAGCTGACTGGTCATCATCCGGCAGCTGCTTTGATGACTGCTTACTGCTTAATTCAGTTATATGTTTGCTGACAGCAGCACTGAATTTTTTCACCCATTGGTCGTGCACTTTTTCTTCAACAGTAATGGATGGGAACAACCGCTGGAGTGCTGCTTGCATCTTTTTTTCCTCTGCTACTTGGATGGCTTTTTCAGCCTCCTAAAGAAGGAAGGCATAATGTTAAGAGACTATATGAGAAATAAATAATTTACATATGAAATATATAGGTGTACAGGTAAACTTGACTTAAACCAGATACAAAGGTAAACACTTGAGGAAAGATAGACTTAACAGAAACCAAACTTAAAACATATCACCCAAAACCCCATGCAATACATTTGAAAAGGAGCAAGAATTGAGAGAGCAGAAAGAAGAGACTTACATGAACAACTTTCTCTGTTTCCTGTATTTTTGATTGGAACATCTTTTCTGATGCTGTAAGAGCATCCATGGCCTTGTAGTTTTTATTTCTTAATTCCTAAATGAAAACCACACAAGCTGTTAGATCACTAAAATTTCCAAAGGTATGAGTAGAGTCTGACTACTCTGTATTTAATGCCTGAATTCTTCAATAAAACTACTGTATTTGAGTTCATTGAACTTTTAAGATGTCTGAAGCACGTTACTTTGAATTTAAACTTTAACACAACAGTAAATGTTAATAAATCCAATGACATGTTTTGAAAACAATGACACCTGGCATCTTTTGACACTAAAATTTTACATGAGAAATGTATTCCAACTTTTTTAACCAAACAAGGAAATATCACCATGTTAGTCATGCATAAAAGCCTGAGCAATGCGTAACACCCCAATATATCCATGTCTCATTCATTCTTTTGCATTCAGAGTATCCATTGATATCAAGTTGAAACAAAAAGCAAGGATGCTAGTAGTTTTACTTGGAAATGGTCTTGAACTCACATCATTTTTTTTCCTTTGCTGGTCAAGCTCTGTGGTAAGTAGAGCTACTTCATTTTTGTGGGCATTGATTTCGGACTTCAGAGAGTCAATGGTGCTGCTGGCCGACTTCTCTGCTTGTTTGACTTGTTCAAGTAGCTCTTCTACTTGCAAATCTTTTTCTCGCAGGCTAGTAATAAGAAGAGGTAAAAAAGTGAGAACTATATACTATAATTTGAGCAATAATATAAATCCTATTGAACACTTACTCATTTATTAATTGGGCTGAGGCAAGTTTCCCATCAGCATGCTTCTCCTCCACAACATCACCATTCTCACGTCCTTCAGCTGCAGGACGTTCGGTGACCGCAGTAACCTGAGCAGCAAGTGATTCATTCTCCTCTCTTAACTGACGAGCCTCCTTCTGAAGTTGACTCACAAGAGAAAACTAGAGAGTAAATACAATCGATTATTCATCTTTAACTACCCTGTAAGAAGTGACAAGAAAAGCTATTACCTTAAAATTAAGAAACTAACCTGGGAAGTCAAAGATTCATTTTCTTCACGGAGTTTGGAAACCTCTGCAGCTTCAGCAGAGAGTTTCTCTATTTCAGACTGCCGTTGAGCAGAAAGGTCCTTCAGCTTAGCCAGTTCAGAGCTGAGTTGTCCTTCTCGCTGCCTTGCGGCAGATAACTGGCGTTCAACTTCCTCCTTAGCAGCCTTTATTTCCTAATGGAAATTAAAACCCAAACATTGTTTTGAAAATGTCATTTAATGGAGCCAAAGGAGTAGTTGGTATTCCAGTACATACGTTCAATTGCTTTTGCTTGGAGTGGACTTCTCCCTGGTTAGAGTTCTGAGCATTCTTTAGTTGTTCCTGAAGTTGGGCGACTTGAGCTGACAATAGTTCACACTGTTGAACAGCAGTTTGGTTCTCTCCAACTTGTTGCTGAAGAATACCAATCTGATTATTTTGTCCCGAAAGCTGTAAATTCAAGTTAGCAATATGATGTTCCAATGTCTGTTGAGTTTGCATGGCATTTTGCGCCTGACCAAGCTCATCTTGATATTTTCTGATGAGTTGGTGTTCTTGATCCAGCTGGTGCTTCAACTGTGTAAAAAATAGTAAATATTTGAAGATTTAGACAGATGAAATTTGAAAATTGCTAACAGATAGATAGTATATGACAAAGGTAGCAATGGACTAATAAAGTGCTAGGCACACAAAGAAATTTGAGTAACCCATACCTGCTGAAGTTGTTGGGCAAGAGTGTGCTTTTCATGATGGAACTTGGCGGTAGCTGCGGCAATCTCATTGGTGCGGTTTAGAAGCTTTTCCTCCAGCTGTTTGTTGACAGCAGTCAGACGGGAGCGCTCAGAGTTGGACTCAGCACGCACTTCCCTCAGTTTATTTTGCAGAGCCTAAAAATAGTTAAGGTTGAAAATCTGTTCACAGTCATCCATCACAAGCTCTACAGACAGCAAAAAATAAAGAAATATTACCAAAGAAGCTGATTGCTCCTCCTGTAAGGCCTTCTCCTTCTCAGCATATGCTTTCTTGAGCTTCATCATAGGATCCTGTCGCCCCTGAAACAGACAATGACAAAGTAGAAAAACTAAGGCAATCAACATCTTACCATCCCAGCAGAAAATCAAATAAATTAAATTTGCAACAAGCTACCTCATTCCATTCAGCAACCTCTGTCTCTGATCCTTGCTGTTTGTTCAATAACAGATCAATCAGATTTTGAATTTCAGAACGAGAAAGTTCAGCTTTGTGAATAAGAGGCTCCAGTAGATTGGCATTGATACCATCACGACCAGCAGCTAGAAAAAGAGATAAATATGAGGGTGAGTACATCTTCACCGCCTAGATAGCTTTTTCAAAGCAGGAGGGCGGGATAATTAAATGAATCTCCAAACATGGCAGAAGCTCTTGAGAATTTCCAGCTTAGTAGGTAACAGATTTTAGTTTGTATTCATTGATTCTTTGACATGAGAGTGAGCGGGCGCGTTGGTGCGTGTGTGTGTGTGTGGGGGGGGGGGGGGGGGGGGGGGGGGGGGCAGGCATTTCAAAATTTCTTGGGATTTTCCTGACAAAATCCAGACAAAGGAGAGTTTTCCTGAGATTTTAAAAAGAGTGCCTGGAGGCTCAAAGCTGCGCTGAGAGGGGCGGGCCACCGCCACCGCGGCGCTCACTGTCTCTTGGTTGGTTTATCGCACCTGAAGCCACTTTTCCAGAAAATTTTACCCCAATTTCCAGATTTTCGCGACATTTCAAAACCTCAACATTTTCCTGACGCGTGGCAACCCAGGGCATGCCTGCGACTCTATCGAGCCGGCCGGAATTGTCGATGGGCGCGCCAAATTAACGACACAAGGACCTTGTGAGGACACGCCACGCCACGGGGCGGGCGCGGACCGGACCGGCGGAGCCAATGGGCCACTGGGCTCATTGGAGCGATGGGGGGAAGAGGGGGGGGGGTAATCGACCGCTCAATTTCCAAAGAAGAATTCATTTCCATGATACGCCCAGACGACAACGGCAGATCAATCGCTACAGTAAATAAATTAATCATTCATAAAAGCCGAACCGTGACGAGGGCGGCGGGAGGCAAAGACGTCTGCTGAGCCGCTTGGAATTCCCCCCCCCCCGACCTCTATTCCTCCTCACTTTAGTTTCAAAACAGAAATTTCTGTTTATTTACATGTAAAAAATTGAGAGAGACAAACAGAAGAAGTCCGTCTCCAGCATCGTGGTGGCAAGCTTTGGCACGGACTAACAATAGAGCCCTAACCAACAACACAGTGTGGGAACAGCGCGGGTCGGGCTCGTCACACACTGTTTACGCATGCAAGTGCCGATAGGAGGACGGGGTGGGGGTGGGGTGGGAGACCACTGACTGGACTGGACAGCCCAAGAAGTCGACCCGAGCCACGACGTTGGTCCCACGTCCCACGGTAGATAGCAGCCCGAAAACGGCCATAGCTTTTTCTAAACTTAAGAATAGCATCTTCATCAGAAGTTACCATCACGATATGAATGCTATAATTTGAAACAAAAACAACCTCCTCCGTCGTCCTCCGTGGAGGCCTCATGGAGGCCTCGTGGGAGGGGAGGGGAAGGGGGGGGGGTGTGGCTTCACGTTCGCGTAGGGTGGGTGCAGCTAGTGCAGCAGGTGACAGCGAAAAGTCCTCCCGACCGCGATAAGAGTTCGGCCCGGCGACGAAACAGCTTAGTCAGAGTGACAGGAAGGAGGGGGTAGAGAGCAGCAGTTCGGCTTCGAGCAGCGCTCGCGCGCCTCCTGCCGGAGCAGGGAAGTCCTCTCTGAGCGCAGCGGGTGACCGGCAGAGGGAGGTCCCCATCATTGCAACATTGCACCACGCCACGCTCGCCTTGCCCGCCACGAGGAAGAGCCGCGATATGACCCACTTGGTAGGGATTTGCACCCCCCTCCCCCTACACACTTCTGCAGGTATGTAATACCTGTCCTACGAGCGTCAGCCGTCCACGACAAAGTCTCGCGCGCAGGATGTTTGCGATAAGATAAGACACAGAAAGAACACGAGAGCGCTCGTCGCTAATCAGCCGGGCCCGTGGAACAGGGATTTCAGAAACAACTAGCACGCCCCTCCCCCTTCCGGGCCAGCAAGTGTTGCTTTATTGAGCTCGCCGCGCGCAGCTGCAGCCATCTGCAGCCGGCACAACACAAGATCCCCCCCCACCAACCGGCCAGCCACGAGACGAGTCCTCCGAGTGAGAGGCCGCGGGCCGCGAAGGAAGGGAAGGGCAGGGCGGACGTCGCGGGGACCGTTATGCTGCCCACACCCACAATATCAGAGAGATGGCGGGGGGGGGGGGGCCTCAGCAGCTAGCAGCCTGCATTGCCACCACGAGCCGTACCCGCGCGCCACCCTGCGAACGTACGGATTCATCCGGGATTCATCCGAATTCGTTTTGGACCAAAAGAGCCCAGCTGACACCGAAGGCGGCCCACGCTGCGCGGTCCACGACGCTTACGCAACAGCCGAACAATTCTGTTCGTTTTGTTAAGCGCCCCCCCCCCTCCCTTCCCCTCCCCCGCTCCGCCCAGCCGGCGCGTTGACAGCCACGTCGCCGTCGGCCGGGCCGGCACCACCGGTCAAGGTCGAGAGGAAATGAGGGGGAAAAATGGAACAGATTCTCTTCCCTCGGTTGGGTTTCCTCCGGGGCGCTTGGCTCGCCCCGAGGATTCCCCCCCCCCCCCCACATTTTCTCCTGACGCTCGTGTCGTTGACATTCCCCTCACTGCAAGCCTCGCCCCAAAGGATTCCACTTACTCATCTGCTCCAGGGTGAGCTCGCCCTTCTTCTTCTTGCTCTTGCTGGGCGCTGGCGCAGACGCGCTGACGACACTGGCGGCCACCGCCACGACTGTCTCCTGCACCGGGGTCTTCTTCTCCTCCTTTGGCACCGGGGCAGCCTTCTCCTGCTTCTCGAGGGACTCCTTCGCCGCGGCCTTCGGTTCAGCCTTCTCCGCCTTTAAAACGTTGTTCGCCTTCTCAGCCTTGGCAGCCACTTGCTTCTCTGGTTTAGCTGCCTGGGTCTTTTCCACCTTGGGGGCAACATCTTTCTTCGCTGCCTTACTTTTTTCAACCTCGATCAGTTTAAGAGTTGCCTTTTTGCCGGTCTGTTCCGCTGACTCATCCCTCTGAAAAAAATATTTAAAAAAGGAAGTAGTTGTCAGCATCAAATGAAAACTGCATTGGCAAGCACAGACAGATAACAGATATGTGCAGAATGAATGGGAGGTGAATGCCTGATAACATTTAGACAGGCTACAATACAACAAAAGCAATTTATGCAGCAGCTGCCTTAACTGGGCATATTATTGCTGTACCACGAGCTAGAACTTTCACATTTGAAGGATAAATTGCATATCAGTATAATGACACATTAAGGCATATGTTAATATGTAATAACAGAGTCATGCAAAGAACAGGGTTGTTACAAGTATTCAAAACTGAATTTATACAACTGACTTTGCAGACAAAATTTTCCACATTCTCAGAAATAAATTAAAGAAATTTCATGGTGGTAGTGACACAAAAGAAAACACAAGAAGTACAGCTTGGCAACATCAAGGAACTCTTTCTATCTTACTCCTGCTTACCTCCTCCTAATTTCACTAACCACTTGCATTTTAACAGAATATTTCCTTATTTCGAGATTTGTAACAACCCTAAAAGAAGGCAGGTAGGTAGAAGCAGACCTGCATTGGAGTGATCTAAACAGGACTTTCTATGTAGCATAACTAAACATTCATCTACATATACTCTATTCTACTCAGACACCGACATTGAAAAAGAACTTACACTCTGGCGGCGCATTTCCAAATCGTCTTTGGGGTGGATTGTCTCAAAATGATTGACATCAAGAGGAGGACTAACTTGCAAAACTAACTGAGCATCATCTTTGTTAATGAGAATGGGTTTTGCCTTAGTTACCTTTTTCTTCTTTTTTTCCTGGAAAAAAGCTGGCCTTGATGATTCTACCTTACAATCTTATAGATCCAAGAAAATTAATGGTTTTTGCTGAGGGGAACCTTTTTTGAATTTAGATTACCGTTCTTGTTACTCAAATCCAGATGGACAATTGATTATGAAACAATTGTGGAGGAAGGAAAATATGGAAACCATGAGTGATTAACCATAGACAGCATTCAATTAGTGAACCTCCACCATTTGGGTGATACAATATAAGAAGCCATTTCCAAAATTTCAAGGAAAATAATTCCTTAATTTTCAGAATTTGATCATATTACAGTGAAATTTTGAATGAAGTGGGAGTTGATACCATTGAATGGAATGATAAACCAGGGACCACTGTTAGTATAACTTCCTATATTCTTACATTACATTTATTTTCTTTTTGGACCCTATCTCATTCAACTTACCTGAGTGGCTGAGGGAAGTGGTTCATCAATGATAGCAGGTTCAGCAACAAATGCTACATGTTGGTTCTTGTGGTGAGAATGAGAATTCTGATCGATTTCATCACTAGACACACTGTCAGTAGTTTCTCTCATAGCAGCAGCCTTCTCAGACTTCTCCTTAACTTTCTTGCCAGCTTTCTTCAATTTCTTCTCCTTCTGCTTTTCTTTGGCTGATTTTCCCAGGAAAAAGGCATCTTCTGAGCGTTGTCGCTGTTCAAGAATAGCTTCTTCATAAGTCTTTTCTTTGGTGCCGTAAGTCATAATGAAGTACACAGCTGTGCCGATGAAGACGGTCACAAGCATAGCAACACCAAAGATGAGGAGGAACTCCATTTTCCCCTGAAACACAATGGATCATTCTGGTTAGGCGTTGAATTAACTTGATCTAAAAATATTGGTTGGATTACAAGAAACACATAACTGAGAAGAAAGCATGTAAAGAAAATTAATTTTTCTTCACAAAACATAATTTTAAAACATTAACCAAAAATTCGAGGAATTAGAAAAGTAGTGCTTAAGCCCATAGACATCTTTCAGCAATCAGTCAAGTCTCCAAAACAGACTAAGGGATTACAAGAGAATTCGTCAATGAACCCACTCGTAAAATTGAAGGAAACGGGCAGCTGCACCGAAGAGAAACGTGTACTCTAGTCAGAACAAAATCATGTAAAAAAGATAAACTCGCGGCTTTGGCAGAAAAAGGGGGCGAAATATAAGCCACCGAGGTGACGAAGAAACTTAGAGAGATTCAGAGTTGACTGGAAGGGGGCACATTATTCGCTTACTTCCAGAGACCCAAATATAATTTTTGACACTTCCGCACATTGCCCGGCCACTAGGCCCCTTGAGTTATTTATAATACGCAAGCTTGCGAAGCTCTAGCGCTGGCCCAGGTGAGCGGTTGGCCTATCTACGTGTAGGCTTAAGTTAGGTTAATTGCAGAACGCCGAAATCATACAACTTGTGAGGTGAGCTCTTCCGAAACATTACCACTCGTTAGAGCAGTATTTGGGGTGAAGTTTTGATACTGACCCAATAATATTTTCACTGATGGGGAGAAAACGGGTGGTTGCCAACTCGTCTGCTTCAGATTTAGACGTACACGAACCACTCGCCCGACAGTAAACCAAAGGCCGAACAAGGGCTCTAAGCGCGGAGAGAGCCGAGCGCTGATTGGGCAGTTTCTTGCCACGTCTGGAGTCGGGCTCGGCGAATGGCCGGCACACACACAAAAGGATCTCTCTCACACACACTCGGGACCAACACTACCACAAACGCGCGGAGCGCCCGTGACCGGCGCGGACCATTTCGGAACATTACTGATAATTATTTCAGGCAACTGTCGTTGAATAAATCTGACTTATCGAACAGGAGGCTAAAATACTCTTGTATGGCTTTTCGGGCGAGAAACCACCCCAGGTAACCAGTTTTGGAGGACGCGCCCTACGCCCGCCGGCCGCGCTTCTTTCTTTGCAAACTTCCCTCTAACAATGATTGTCGTTCTTGATATGATGGAGCGACGGTTAATTCCATCTGATTCGTTTCAATCTCCATACGCCAGGAAAATGTGCGGCGAAAATACTGAGATGAGGAAGGAATGGCCATAGAGTTGAGGATTATTTTTTTTAAGGATTTTATTCATTTTTTTAATAACAAAAGATTAATTTGTACATGATGAACCACATTTCACATTTGCATATGATTAAAAACAGCCTACATATTAAGCAGGTAAAATGTAAGTCACAGCAAAAACTATGTAAAATGGAAACTACAGTACCTCGATATTTAATATAAGAGGGTGCAAACAAGATTTACTTTATAATTTGAAATAAATATGTAAGATTTTTGAAAAATATTGACACTGTGCAAAGGATGTTTCCAAAAACATTTCTTATCCTAAGATACATAGTAACTTGCTTCATTTAAAGAAAGAGGTAACAATCATCAAGGTCTAACCTTTTCATCGATGGAAAACAACAACAAAGTAAAGGTACTCCACATCTAGCACCAATAGTTAATACACATAGGTAGTAAACAAAACAAATTGGAACATTCATAGGTAACCTTATCATATCATTTAAAAGGTAGCAGCCTTGTGCACCTAAAGATGAAACTGACCGTCAATAAATAATATACAGGAGTATCCAAAAACAATATTCATTGTTGCATTCCAAAGCTTGTAAGTGAGAAAAAGTCCCAAAAGCAGAGGAGCACACTTGATTAAGACTCCATTATCACCTTTGAACTGATATATAGGTAATGATAGCTATACATATATAGATATATATAACATTATTGCTCGACATTTTAACTGTCTGAACACTTATAAATATGCCAAATATATAGAGCAGATAAAATAATTTTTTTCAAAGTATCCTTATTCTTGGATACAAAACAATCAGAAATAGAATTATCGAAATAAAATAGACAATTTGGCAATAACAAGCTATGTTAAGACACATCATGACTATGCCACAATAGCAAAGAATAACGCTGATATACATACAGTACATTTTTGTAATACAAATGACTATCACAGGCCTACAGAAGCTTAATTACGGAGAAAAGTTCTTGTAAGACATATCTGGCTCAAGCCAAAATGAATTCTGGCAACTTCCAAGTACAGTACATTTTAAATGATATTTAGCAGATATGCCCAAAATCTGTAAAAAGAGCTTTACAAAAGGAGCCAGTCACTCCAAAAGCTGTTGGTCTGTTTCTGAGAAAATTCCAGTAACAACCACTTCTTAGATTTATTTGAACATACTGTACACACAGAGAAATATCACTTCCATCCAAGCAACCCATGCCTATTTGATAAGTGATTTGATACAATTCTCACAAACAAATCAAAAGGATGGATAATTGTTTTATCTAGAAAAATTTGATTGAAAATAATGTAACCAAAAGAAGGGTCTGTTTCAAAGGTCAACGGTTACAACCGCGTAAAAGCAGGGTTATCGATTCCCACCCTCTGTCTCACAATCTAAACCTGACCTGTTCTCAGCAGAGGCAAGGGCCAAAACTGAATCCGATGCCACGTATATGTGGTAATGACTTCATTGTTTAAAAACTCAATAATGCTAAATACATAATTGAAAATTTCTATTAAAAAGTCTACATGTTACCAAAATTAAGGACTTGTACAGGTAATTCTAAAGTTGTCATTTTTTTTATTTTATTTTTTGAACAGATAAACCATTGTCATTTACTGTAATAACAACACAGTGAGCAAAGAGCTGGTGGGAAAATTTAATTTGCATATCAAAGGAAGAAAGAAAATATACTTGAACAATAGTTGAACTGATGGGCAAGAAGCAAAATCTTTTCTGGTGAAAATTCATGAAGAGTTATTTAATTTGAAACAGTATTAAAATGTGTGTTCTCAATGAACATTGGATAAAAAAGGGACAATTTTCAGAAAAAAATTGACAGCATTGATTTTAACCAAACTATTCTTTCTAAAATATCTACATGACTTTTAAATAAAAATGAAACAAGGCACCCCAGTCCCTTGCCCTCCATAATTTAAGAAATTTCAGCATTTCCTCTGCTATCATGTGTTCTGAAACAATTAATTTTTGTGTCTTATCCCTCAAAAAATTAACACAATTGGAAAACAAAGACACTTAAAAAGAAAATTAATGTGACACTACTCCAATACCAATTGTTGAAGTAACAGATATAACAGTATTGCCATCAGTCTATAGGTAAAACCATGAACTCTACAATCAGCTCAGGTTCAGCATAGACCGCCCTCATACTCATCTTCACTTCCTGGAGTGGTAGCAGCAACAGATGAGGCTGCTGGTGCACTATGCTCTCCAACTGATTGACCACTTTCTTCAAACTAAAAATGTTGAAAACTTGTTAGTAAAATACCTTAATGATACTGTTGTAAATGATCATTGAGTGATTGAAAACCTTACATCAACTTGAGCTGAGGCCGTTTGAGACGATGCATTTGGGGAGACATATGATGGAGCCGCATTCTCTCTCACAGTTGCCTTTGGGGCAACTGTGGTAGGCTGAGGCAAAGGCAATTCTCGTGCAAGTCTTGCATACTCTACATCCATGTGTTTAATAAATGGACTGTTCAAAGCTCGTTTCACAGTATCAGAGTCTTCTTCATCAAATCCTTGAAGAAGCATTTCTAGGGTTTGAACCTACAAGTCATCACAATACACAAAAGAAATATTCCATAAATTTTTAAAATTTTAAATGAAATACTTTAGATAAGTTTAGATTTTGACTTGTTGTACCTCAGGAGCTTCACAACAATTTCCCCATTCCTTAAACGCCTTTTCAGCAGCTACATAGTCACCTCTTGCCAGCTGAACTAAAACAAGAGCCACTGCCAGCCTGCCAATGGCAGGTACGTGCTCTGATTGTTCATGCAAACCCATTTCTCGTCTTATAGCATCAGCAGCTTGATCATACCTTTTTAAGAAAGTAAGAAAGAAAACATAAGTTTCAGAGTTAGGGCTAAATATTAAAAAGAGAGATGACACAGCTATCAGTGAAAAATTGTTCACAGGTTTTGTTCAGCCAAAGAGAAAAAGATTCATACCTTTTAAGCTTAACAAGAATCCTTGAGACTTTGCCAACAAATTCTGCTGATTGTCTTACATTATTCTCAGTCTGTAATGATATAATAATTTAAAACCATATTTCAAACGCCAGTTAGAAAAAAACAACAACTTAAAAACATAAGGGCATATTACAGACCATTGCAACATCTGCAGCATGTTGATTCAGCTTGAGGGCCTCTTCTGGATGCTGCTCTTCAATTATTTTAGCTGCTTTATCCAAAGCAAGAGCTCCTGATTCTGATGAGCCATGCTGCTGATACAAGCTACAGGCTTTCTCTGCCAAAGACGCTACTTCTAATAAATTTCCAAGATCCCTACTCATCAGCATGGCTTGCTCCAAGCATCTGAAAACATTGGGTTTAAAGGAAGTCATTACGGGCAGCTTGAAATGAACCACATTGAATTTGATAATTTGAAGTGCTAGAATTGTTAAAACAGATTTTCCTTAACATAGACTGAATAAGAAGAAAATGGAGAAAATGACTTAAAACTTACTTGGCGGCATGAAAAAATCTATTGACAAGTTAAAGAAAAGTAACATGTAGTAAACAACACAGTAAAAGTGACCATGTTCATACCCTGATAATAATAATTTAGATTATAATAAGTTAGATTGAAATAGATCTTGATTGTCTAAGCGGTTCAAGCGTGGGAATCTACTCAAGTGGTAATATCATAAAGGATACGATCTATTTTGTTTATAGCAGTCAGCTGCTTTGAAGAGACAGTCTTTGCATTGTTGGAAGGACCGAGCATTCCGAAAGCAAGTAGCTGCAAAAAACAAAATATTAAACCAAGACTGATACCATATCGTAAGATGTTATATCAAAGCACATTCAATGAAGACAATAAAAAATCAGCTACTGAAATAAAATTTACCTGCTCTGTTGTACTCATCTGCAGCCGAGTCATAGTCTGGTCTCCATTTCAAAAGTGATGTTTTAAGGCTGAAAAAAATTTCACACTTGATCAATAATAACAAATAGCTAAACGATACGTCAGAAAAACATTCTAAACTAAGTAACAAGCACAACTGTAAAATTATGATTTGATTCATCATTGTGAAATTTGATAGGATGGAAAATTTTATGATTGAACTGATACAAAAGGAAAATGCCTGGTTAGTTTAGTACAAAAAAGGAAGGCAAGTAAATGTTAAGGCATGACAACAAAAATTGACAGCCCTTCCTAACCTAAATCTTTGAACGTCTGAGGTTTTGGTATTCATAAACAGGATTAAACCATTATGACAGAGAAGAGTGAAAGCTTCTGAATGACACATACGTTTGGCTTTAATTTCTGATGTCACTTGCACTAAGTAACAAACAAAAACAGACTTCCACTGACACGAAATGAGAAAATCAATACATATGCTGAGGGCTCAAAGAATGCTTTATTTTCGAAAACATAAACAAGTTTACCACTTTTCTGCGTTCCTGATACATTCCAGTCCTTCTTCGATCTTAGGATTTTTCGACATAGCTGGTGTAAGGTCACACCTTTCTGTCAATGCAATGTGTAAGCTGTCAAATTCGCAACCCCACGTTACCCCCACGTAAACGCAGCCTGCCTGAGCTGTCGCTGTGCTGGGAGGGGGGAGGG